TACATTTTATCGTAATGGCAGAGTAGCAATAAAAAAATATATTAATGTTATTAATTAAAATGTATCAGGAAATTATTTTCTAAGTCGATTGCACACAGATTTTTTTATATGAGATTTTTATTGACTTTTCATGTGTTTTTCATATCGATGAATGCGTCCACATACAATATTATTCATTCCGTAGATAACAATTTTGATATATGATCATCGATTATTACATCAATGATTTATAGAAGTATATTTTGTATTTATATATATTATTAAATAATGAATCGCTTTAATGCAATTTCCGGAGAGAATTATTATTATTTTTACTATCGCAGAATTTTATTTTCTTCGTGAATACAAGAATTATCTTGTTTCTTTAATAATTTAAGATATAGATCGATTGTTTTTTTTCAGAATATTCACATTCTTCTGTAAACACGAGAAGAATTTGAAATATGTACATATACGTGTATAATAAGTATAAAACAGGACAAAAACTATCTTCTTCCTACAGCGAACAAAGCGATGTACTTAAGTATCACAAAAGCGGTATACTTTATGCAACTAGACTGATCGTGATTAAGTATAGTGTTCTTGATTAATTGCACAAAGAGGGTTACCATGTTACACCACTACTTGGCGAAATCAGAGCATTATGAATAAGCATAATGTCAGAGCAGCAATTTTTGTTTGAAGCTTCGAGTCCGTCAAATATAGTTATCTAGGATAACTGCTTCTTCTCCGAGCACGAAATTTCTCCGATGTTACTATTCATTTCGTCCTACCTTGAACGTAATCGTGTACTCTTACGAGACGATTATATCATATTGACATCATATACATATACATATAAAACTGTTATTTATGTGGATGTCGTATTTCCGTCTCAGCGTGAAACTTAGACAATCGTCGATCGCAGTCGGATCGATTGATCTTATCGTTGAATATCTAATTGATGTCACTAATTTCATCAGTAAGAAATTTTAAAGACATTAATACAAAATAGACTCTCGATGTACAGAATCAAATTACGATTATTACTCTTCGATAATTAATAAAATCATGTAATACATTGTTCTTGAATTGTACATAGGGATGCATTTAGAAACTCAGAATATTTCATTTTATCGTTCTGAATATTAAATAAGGATAAAATGATATCTGCGTGTACCCGAGTGAAGTTTCTAAATGCAATCCAGTAGTAATTAATGGCATATACGCGACATATTAGACTTGAGGATCCGCTTACGAGGGAATCATTTTTCATTATTCATTTTGTTATTTTTTGTTATTCTTTATTTTATTGTTTTATATCTGGTGACAATAAATTTGCAGAGATAGATTGCGATATTTTGATTGTTGTAGTGAAAAAAATGCCGCCGAATAAATATCTCTCAAAACTTTTTTTATATAGCATATATAAAAAAATTTCGGGAACTTCAAAAGTAATCTTTAAAAGATTTTATTTAAGTTTGCTGTCCTAAAAAAATGATTTACAACAAAACGGAGTTTCTAATTTATGATGTGATAATTTCCGCTGTAATCGATATAATATATTATGTGTAAATTATGACACAACAGAATATATAAAAGAGCGCCGGATTATACATTTTTTTGTACTTTGCATTTTGAAAAATAAAGCTATTATAATCGAAACCGTACATGCATCTTTTGGATCGCGGAGTTATTTTCTCATCGCATAAAACGATCGAATTTCCGGAATCATTTTGTGAAAATTTTCGATTAACGAACGTAATAAGATTTCGATATAACGAATACCCGACAGAATATAATTCTTGTCATAGCGATAAACTTTAATTTAAAATAAAATTTTATTTAATTCGAGCAAGTGGATATATATTTTTTAATTATGAATCACAACGATTGATTAAATAAGAGAAGATAAGAATTTTATTCTAGAATTAATTGTGAAACAATCAAGTTTTTACATGACTCGACGTAGTGGAATTCGCTATAACAAAATTTTATACTATTTTTAACTAAAATGCCTCTCATCATAGAACGTACTGAACATACTTTTTTAAGATTGATTTCTTGCTGTTAGAAATTTGACGATCATGAACGATACACTGAAAAAAAGTCTGCTAATGTATTTTATTTAATACAATAAATAATAATAAATGTTACCAAACATAATAATATGGATTCATATGAACTATAACTATATATTATCATACTTTTCTAATTATTACTGTTTGATAATAAGTAGAAAAATAAGATAATATTTGGAAAATTAAAATACTTTTTTTAGTTTAGTTGCTTTTGGTATTAATAGAACATTTGATTGAATTTTATTTCACCAAAGCTTTAGTAATTATTGTCTATGCTTGATTATTATTATTACGATATTATTGTTATTTAGATTTTTTTTCAATGTACTTCTTTAGACATGTAAATGTGTCATATTTCAGGAATCATCGATTCCTTATGCACACATGCTGCTCTATGTGTGCTAAAGCATAGCATACGAACATATTCGATTAATAGGGATCTCAAAGGAATACATGATTGTCGGTTCACTACACATAACATGCGATTGGCAGTAGATATCGTGTCTGACGAACCTTGAGCCTGATATTCGGCCCTTCAACCACGACTCATGAACTTGGTTCCGTCAACCTGAACTATATTGTGCATGAATATTGAACATTTTATACATGTATTCGTTCTTGTTTCTGTTTTCTTTTCGCTGTTGTTCATATTATGCCGTTGTATATTTATAGTTCACAGTAGCATGATCGCTCCGAGAAATATTATAATTACTGCCATTCTGTGTGTCGCCATTCTCATGATCCCAATCACTCTCTCTCTCTCTCTCTCTCTCTCTCTCTCTCTCTCTCTCTCTCTCCCTCCTGTTTGTAAATCTCACCGTGTGCGTTGCCTTTTTTCTTTTTTTTTTTTTGTTATTGCTACTGCTGTTATTCTCAAATCCGAGTGAACGAGTGGAAAAGTAGGTAGAGAAATGAGAGTGAGAAATTCTTCCGAGTGTACAAGTAGCTTGCTACTGATATGCGATTTTTCTCAATATTCTTCTTAATGTCATTTTGACACCTTTGTACTCGCAGCATCACATGCCATGATCCACGATGAGGCATTTTTCTGATTATATATACAATAATTTTTTAGCTTTAAAACAAAGAAAAAGATTTAACAAAGTGTCGAGATATTTTTTTATTCTTAATTTGATAATATGGATACATATGTTACGGGCAATATAATTAATTCAGGATTTATACATAACGGCTGGCCAATATGGATAATGCCTGTTTTATTAAAATTTTATTAAAGCGGAAATATTGGCCAATCAAAAAGATGTGCATTATGCATATCGACCGGCATTATGTCCGAATTAATCAAATTTTCCGTACACATATACTGGATATTGCATCAACATATTGGTTAGTATGTCATGTTTCCTTTTCTAACAAACGCGTGATCGATCGATTATATTTTATAAATGCGCCTATTAGAGAAGGCATTACATTTATAAAATAATTTGATATACTGTTGTCAATATGTTGGTGTGACACTCAATACATTGTATAAAAATAATTTTTATTTTATATAATATGCTTAATATTTATTAATAATTATAACGTATTCTTTTTGTAATAAAAATTGAATCGTAGAATTCATGGGATGAAAAATGTCACGTCGTCGATCGTGGGGTTATTGTCGCATCTCGAGTACTCGGGTACAGGTGATAAACGATCCGGTAGCGCGTCCCATAACACGAAATCCGGAAGTACTTAGGGCACCGCGAGAGTCGCGCAACCGGCGCCACGACGTAGCATGAACGTTTGTGTCTGATTTAGATTCACACACGGTGGTCATCGAACAGCCGTCGCACTCGTGCAAACTCTGCGGTAAATCGTTTTGGAATCGGGACTCGATGTATAAACACATGAATATGCACAAGGGCACGACCCAGTGCCCGGTGTGCCACAAAGTGCTCAGCCGCACCACGCACATGAAGCGCCACTTGAGGAACCGTCACGGCTGGCTCGGGACGACCGCATCCGTCGCGGCCGGCGGCGTTGAGGCGCCGATCTCTGTGTCGTCGACCGCCCAGACGATCGCCCAGCAGGACGCCGGCAGTCCGTCGAGCATCGACGCGAACGCGACCTACACGACAATACGCATTAGGGAGAGCAGCGTGGAAAGAATCACCTCTAGTCCTATTCCTTAGTGCGAAAACGCTCTACCAAAGAAAGAATCCCGTCGACGCAAAGGAGGATAGATCCCGGCGATCCTCACCATTATTTCAACCTGATTCTTTTATCATCGGGTACAATAGGTTTTTAAAATGTGCCGCACTTTATGCTAATTGTAAAGAGTTTTCTATAATAAGCCATTACCTAAGTTTTAAATTTTAAGTTGTAAGAAAGCCCATAAATGTTTCGGTTCGGTTCCCTCGACTGGGACTCGTCAGTTCTCTTGAAAACTGATAATTAGTTTTAGTTAATTTATTAAGCCAGAAACACATAGAAAAACGTAAAGCAATAAGATGTAAATAGTAAGCGAATTGACCAATCACAATAAAAAATGTATGACAATAATCTTACATTCTGTAATTAGTCGATTAACTTCTTATTTATATCTTACTGTTAAATATCAAAGGAGCAATGATAACCCAATCTCTTGAGTCAAATAACATTTTGTTATTTTTAATTTTCATGTAAATCAAAATGTAAATCAATCCATTTCTGTGATTAGTTTCAAAGTAAATGCATATTAACACAAAGTACGCATATTAACGTATGTGTTTAGTAAATAATGATCTAAATTAGAGATAATTCAATACATTTTTCGTGAGTTAAATAATTTAATTTCATTGTTTTAATTAAATTAACAATTTATTGCGTAAGTATTTATAATATTTTCTTCGTTTCTTTCGTTTAGCGGTGCAATTTTTTTTTGTTTTAATAGAAGAACAGGGCATGTGCAAAGATCGCAGCAATTATTATTTATCGTAACATTAATGACGCGTCGTTGAGCGTCGGGCCTATTCTACTCTAGTCGTCGACGAGGAATTTATGTTATGCCTGTCTTGAACTTCACAACCTAGTCATTCGTACACATACATATATATGTATATATGTGTATCTATATGTGTATAATGCACATAAGAAGGAACACTTACACGTACACATATAGACCATGTGCGTATACACGGACATTTGTTGTAACCAAAGACACGAAGAGAGAACAGAAACGATTTATTTTATCTAGTCAAATTTCTTCGAAAGTTCAGTACTTAATAGCATAAGGAGGAATGTGCATTTTTTTCGTACCATTGATGCGATTTAGCGACGTGGTTCTGCCATATTTTAAGCCAGATCTACATAAAACCCATTCTATATTAGACGCAAGCCGATCGCAGCGTTGATTTCAAAATGCAAACTTCTAGCTTGCGTCTAAATAGAATGGACTTATCACGCAGAACGCAAGCATGTTACGTCAATCAATCTGATGCGTCAATTTTTAAAGTGACACTTCGAGATTGACTTACGCAAGAAGCTTATGACCTGCGACTCGCGTTTTGCTTTAAGCTGGTTCTACATTAGTTGCAAATTGATCGCAAGTTTGTTGCGATAGCTAATATGAAGCGTTAATTTCAAAATGCAAGCTTCAGATTGGTTGTTGCAACAAACTTGCGATCGGCTTGCAATTAATATAGAATCGACTTTATGTAAATCGGAAATCTTTAGATTGCCAATTTGACAATCAGATCTTTTGACACAGGCCGAGCCTGTGATCCACGTGATCGTGGTAAAATTGCTAGAATAATTTTAAAACAATCTATTATCTTAAATTTTGTTACAAAAATTGAGTTGATGTATTTAATTAAGAAAGTAAAAGCAAACTTTTATATACTCACTATATAATACGATTTCAAAATTATTACTTATAAATTAGATATTTTATTCTATTATCTTTTTAATTGATATACAAGATTTTTCCGGATTAAACCATCAACTTGAAATATGAATTTAGGACCACAAAAAGTTTCCTCTGATGTAAGTTTATTCGCAAATACTTCGAGATATTGATTTCTTAAGTTACAAAATTATAGAAATAGTGTTTGAAGTTCTAAATTCATATTTTAAGTCTGGTGATTTAATTTAGAAACACTATGTATGTTATATCAAGCAACAACAATATATATAATATATATACTTGCATTTTTACCATGATCGAAAAATAATCGCTTCAAGTTAATATTTGATTAATTGCCCTGTGCCATTATTTTTTTAAGTATCAATATGCCGAATTTCATGTTTTACATCTCGATGATTGGCTGAATTTTCGTCGTTGTTCGACGCGCCATTACGTTCTCGGGTTCTGTGTTATTGATCCCGGGTCGCGAATTTATATTTATGATATTACGCATACTCACATACACTAGTTTTTAAGGTCTCGGAGACTTTTGCCAAATATCTAATATATCCAATAGTATATACATATATACATATAAATAGTACATTCTGATTTTTTTATTTTAGTATCGCAGATGTAAAGTTAATATCTCGTACTATATTATATTTCGTTTGTTTATTTTGTTGTCGTTATTGTTTGTTCTATTTTTTTACCAGCTCCGATTTCGCGATAGCATTATATGCAACGAATGAACGGTGCAATGAGCTCATTTCACTTTGCCATTAGAGTCTCGAAGCTCATCGATAGTCACGCCTATGTACTTTTACAATTTTTAAATTAAAAACAAATCGATAATCTATTATAAGAATATATAATGTAACTATATTTACAAATTAAATTATTTTATTTATTTACGCATTACTTTACTGTCCATAAGTTAAACAAGTTGACTACCTAAGATTATTTAAAAAAGATATAGATATACACATAAATATATTTGTAATTTATTTATATAAAAAATACAAAATGCTATATTTACAACTTTAGAAGGAACTAAAATTGTATTTAAAAATATTAATATTATAATAATGTATTAAAAATACATAATATATTTAATATTATACAATAAAATTAAATATATATAATATTATATATTGTATATAATATTACATATATATTAAATTAAAATAATAGTAAATATAATAATGTTAAATCTAACAGATTAGATTTAAATTAAGTATATATCATAATATAAACTATATTAATAGATTTGTGGACAGTACTGTACGTTTAGGTGCAAATATAATTTTGCACTGTAGGAGAGAGAATGAATGCGCAATGCTCATTTTTTATCATGAAGTGACTATCGATAAGTACAAGAAATTCTTCCATAAAGAGGCTATTTTTCGTTTTAGAATCATTATATCTACGATTTCTTTTTCGAGAACTTCGAGATATTTATCGATGACCATCGAAGTCATCAAAATCTCTGAACGAAGTGAGAATGTACAAATTGACGCTAGTTTTACAAACGAGAATGCAATTTAGTGCAATTATATTTAGTTCCAATGCTCGTGAATTAGTTTTCTTTGTCTTTTTCACGCTTTGGTGCAATATGATGAGATAAATTTCGTATATCGCAATTGTCTAAATTAATTGAGGAAAAATGTTCGAATTATACGGAATATTTTTCAAATGTATTGAGTTGTCTTTCAGAAACATTAAAATCAAATTTTCTTTAAGGAATGCAGCATCAAAACATTGTTTCGCAATCTGTTTATATTTTTAGTACTTGAAAGTTTTTATACTAATTAATTTCCCGAATAAATGTAGAGAAATAGGAGACGAGAAGTTTAAAGGAAATTAATTTCCATGCGCGAATAAACTGCCTTAATATATATTTTATAAATCGGTTCTTTTGTCATTAATTGCATAATATTCACATACGTTTTATGATACATTGCAGAACAGTGCACCATGTACACGAATAACAATTCGGATGCTGTTAATTTTACGTTATGATTTATGTTTTATGTTTTTAATAAAATTTTCTTTTATTTAAGTTACCATGCGTGGCGTCATTTGTTTTAAATCCTTTAAAAGACGCTATGTAGTTTACATACATGTATGTATACATAACATATATGTATATAATTATCCGTGTTTTATTTATACACTTATATATTCATACGCGTACACGTATGATGTAATTGCGCGTGTACATATTGATTAATCGGCAGTCGTGTACACGCGCGCGTACGAAATATTATTTTGTTACGGACAGAAAAGCGAATGTGCACATTCCTCAAAAAAAAGTCACGAATGCAAAATAAGTACAACATCGCCAATTAAATGTTGCCCTAGACGAATTGATATTTCCTTAGTTGATTATTTATAAAAGAAAAAAAAGAGATGAGACATATATATGTATACATAAAGTATGAAAAAAATAATATATATATATATATATATATATATAATATATCATTACGTAATCCTATGTTTGGCTTATGCAGGCTAAATATAAATGTAAGTGGACATATGTGTGAATAAAGTTGAAAAAATTATGAACTCACATAAGCGAGATTCTCCTCTTTCCTTCTCGCGAAACGTCCGGTTTGCGACATTAAGTCCGTGTCACACTATATTAAGGATTGCAAATTGAAGATTAAAATTCAGCCAAGACCGAAATGGATTAAAATTACAATTATCTAATTAGTCGAGTTCTAATTTTCAATTCGTAATCTTTAATATAGTGTGTGACATGAGATTTACATGATTCACATGACTTCGTTTCACCCCCATTTGAGGATCGTCCTCAATTTAAATTAATTTATTTAATATTTACTGAGCATAAATTGCACGGACAATTGCGCGCGAGATAACGATGACCTAGAATGAACGCTTTTTTTGCGCTTTCGTTTCACGCAACACACATGTGTGTCGAAGTAACACACAGTTGATTAGAAGACAAGCTGCAGCACTGCACCAAGACACCTTCTAATTCACCTAATTCCGCTGTGATTTTGAAGCGAGTACTTAGCTATTTACATGTGCTAATTAGTGCTGGCGCTTCAGCCAATAAAGCCCGATCTAAGATGCAAAACGCGAATAGCAGGTCGCAAGCTTCTTGCATCAGCCAATCTCGAAGTGTTACTTTTAAAATTGACGCATCAGATTGACTAACGCAACAAGCTTGCGACCTGCGAATCGTATTTCTTATGTAGATCAGACTTAACACATTAGAAGTACTATAATCGGTTTGGCAAATGTGAATCAAAAATGGCACATAGAAAGAGATCATATGTTACTTTCTTTTTCTATGAACGCATGCGCAGAAAGTGTTAGAACACTTTCTGGCAATATCTGAAGAAACTGATCAATCGAATTGATCAATTGGCCGAATTGTTCAATTGTAATTTGTTAATTTTCTCTTTTCTCAAGATCTCAGAGTGATTTAAATCTTTGACACAAGGCTTTATTCATCTGTTTATAGCTATCTATCTCTTTTTTGTTCGCTCTCGTTTTCCGACAATGCTCCGAAG